ATGCCTGTGCTAAGGTAAGGTGACGCACTTTTGACCTGTTTAAATTCACTGACAAAGGGGAGGATAAATCATTTTCCAGGACATTTTTCTTCCTTATCTTCTAGATAACATGGGAATCCTTTTTAACAAAAAGTAACCCAAAAAAATACCAAAAATATAAAATAAAACCAGCAAACTCACTCGTTGCTCGTCTTTTTTTATTATTTTTTATTAACAAACATTTTAAATATAAATGTGTAATTATTGTCTTTAATCATCAAGACTTTTTTTTTTTAAAACCAAGTCATTGAAGCCCTCCATTTTGTTTTGGTTTTTTTTCCAACAGAGAGAAGGTCAGAGTCCTAGAGAGTGTTGACAAGGTTTTAAAGAAAATGGTGATAAACATGAGAAAGGACAATTGAACCTTCACAGATCTGACAGTCCCTACACCAGTAGTTTCTGGCATTAATATAAATTAAGTCTTTATTTTTTATTTGATTTTTATTTTCATCCCTACAGTCCACCTTTTGTGTCTTCACATTCGAGTCGTTCAACTGCAAAAAAAAATAAACTTCCATCGGTGTTTTTGAAAGTCTAACTTTCTGTCCAACCTGACAAAGCACAATCGCAAAATAATATTGGTAACTCAAGCCTTTTGTTTTTATGACAACAGTCAGCGTCTCCTGAAAAAAAATCTTAAAAGTAAAGTCAGAGTTTCTATTTGTTCAGGCTAATTTAAAAAAAAAAAAAAAAAAATGCAGTTTGTGGAGACTCTGTACCCGAAAATTACACCATCATCTTTACCACATTATCTAAACTTAAAAGAAATGAATGAATGAAGATTAGCGTCCTTTTTTGACCCAGTTCGGATCAAGGTGTGAAAATGCTTCACCTTGCGATCATGTGACACATGTTAATAACCTCCTTTTACATTTCAATAAGAGTTTGACCTTAACTGTGCTGCTGCTGCTGCTTTAGCATGTTGTAAAGCTGAAAATGTTTCAGGAGTACTCTTGTGTTTTTGTTTTTTTTTTTTGTTTTTTTTGCTGTGTCAAACAAGGTGATGACATCGGCCATGGGGGTAATGACATCACCGCAGTAGGCTAGTGGTGACATCCCTAAATGCCCAGAGACTTACGGACGATTTTCTGAGCAAGTTTATAGAACTGTTCTCTGTCTTCCCGCCACATTTTAGAGGCATCTACGTTTGCTCCACTTTCATCGTTCGGTTCTGAGAACGAATGGAAAACCAAGCAAGGAAAGGGGTAGGAGGAGAAATTGGAGGACGGAAAAAAAAAAAAAAACAGGGTCATTTTTTTTTTATAATGAACATTATAACATATACTGTACATATATTACAAAACATGTAAGATGTATATTCATTTTTGCATTTGTACATGCAATAAAACGTTTTAACTCATGGGCCAAATCACTGCGAAAGTCTTCCCTGTGCATTTGGGGCCCGAAGCAGGAAAGAGCTAACGTACATATATAACCTACATATATATATATATATATACATATATATATACATATATATGTATATATATATATATATATGTAGGTTATATATGTACGCTAGCTCTCTCCTGCTTCGGGCCCCAAATGCACAGGGAAGACTCTCGCACAGATTTGTTGTATATGTATATATATATATACATATATATGTATATACATATATATATATGTATATATATATATATACACACACAATTATTTTTTTCCTTTTTAAATTAAGTGGGTGCCGCTTATTTTCAGGTGCGCTCAATAGTAGGATTACTCAATAATAGGATTTATCCACAGCTACCCTGTGATGAATCTGATTAAAACATTCCAGTGGAGTGACAGCTATGGTTTATTTTTACGTGGCTATAAGGTAAAGAGCAAGTCTGTGTTGGTTACCTGCTAACATGCTGACCACAGAGAGCAGGATCTTCTCAACACTCTGGACCGGACTCCATCTCTCTGCGCTGCTCTCGTAACCCATAGGATCATCACCAGGAGCGTGGAGGATTGAGATACATACACGACCGTCGGGATAGACTAAAGAAAGAAAGAGGAGGTGGAAAAAAAAGGTGGAGGTGAAACCTCAAGAACAAAAATTGATTGTGACTTTTCAGCAACCACGATTCCTTTTACACCTAAGCATGTGTGTTGGTGTGTGTAGGCCAGGGTGGCTGAGGTGATACAGCACCAAAAGGAAGTGGAGCTGAGTGGTGGTGTGAGTGCTGCTAAGCAGGAACAAGTAAAGGAAGAAGATGACGATGATGATGATGATGATCATGACAGGGTCAGCACAGCTTCTCCTGTCCTCTAATCAGTACAGACCGTGCCCAAGAGTTTGACAATGACATCATGCCTCAAGCAACCATCCACTAATCTCTGAGCACTAATGATAGCATGACACTGACACGCCAAAAACACAGGAACATGCTGTGACAGGAAGCACAATGACTAAGAGGGAGAAACAGTGAGTCCGCAATTTTCTGCCATCTTGTTTGTTTCTCCTGTTTCAGGGGGGGACGACGACAATTGTTTGGAACACGTCTGTTTTCAGTAATAGCCCCGCCTTCAAAACTTTGGTCTTACAAAATGCTGACGAGTCATTTTAGCATTGTTTGTTTGAAAACCATACTTTGGGTATTTGACAACTAATTCCTGTGTTACCCCTGAGTTTATGGCTGTGGAGTTTATAGCTGTAGATATCTATCCTGCTGACCAGTCATTTTAGCATATTGTTTGTTTGTTTGAAATCCATACTTTGGGTATTTGACTACTAATTCCTGTGTTACCCCTGAGTTTATGGCTGTGGAGTTTATAGCTGTAGATATCTATCTATCTGTCTATCTATCTATATCTATATATCTATCTATCTATATATCTATATCTATCTATATCTATCTATCTCTATCTATCTATATCTATCTATCTATATCTATCTATATCTATCTATCTATATATCTATATCTATCTATCTATCTATATCTATCTATATCTATCTAT